TTCTGTTGGTATTGTCGTTTTTGCTGCTATATTTCTCATCAGCAAACGCTTATGTTTTCATTTATACCTCCTTGTATTTTGTCTCCCTGTATTGGTGGGGAATAAAAGAGGAGTGAATTCATTTTATTGGAGTTCCTGCCCCAGTATGTGTCCTCAAACCAGCTCAGGTTGCTCAAGGTCTCCCTGAAATTTGGCATCATCCACAAAGAACTTGAAATTACATATTGTCCCATTGTACAGAGGCATCATAAAGATGTTCTATAGTGGTGTTCAAGGGCTGATCACTGAGGGATTTCATCAGGAAGTTGCTGCCAAGAAGTTGGGGTTGATGGAATTCCACCTGAAGTCTGGAAACATGGGGGCCTTGCACTCCATGCTAAATTTCATGAGTTTGTGGTGCACTCTTGGGAACTAGGAGAACTACCATCAGACCTTCGTGATGCAGCCATCATCACTTGTATAAGAAGAAAGGTACTAAATCAGACTGCTCAAATTAACGTGGTATAACTCTGCTCTCCATTGCTGGCAAAATCCTGGCAAGAATACTCTTGAACAGACTAATACCCGCTAGAGCCGAAGGAATTCTACCTGAAAGCCAGTGTGGTTTCAGAGCCCACAGGAGTACCACAGACATGGTGTTTGTTCTCAGACAACTGCAAGAGAAGTGCAGGAACAGAACAAAGGTCTCTATGGAACCTTTGTCGACCTCACCAAGGCTTTCGATACTGTGAGCAGAAAAGGTCTGTGGCAGATTTTGGAACATTTAGGTTGTCCCCCCAAGTTCTTTAAAATGATCATCTCACTCCATGAGGATCAGCACGGTCAAGTCAGTACAATGGCAATGCACTTTCTGAGCCCTTTCTAATAACCAAGGGTGTGAAACAAGGCTGCGTTCTCACATCAACCCTATTCACAATCTTTTTCAGCAGGATGCTCCAAAGGGCCACAGCAGACCTCAATGATCAGGACGGTATCTACATTCAATACTGTACTGACAGAAGCCTTTTCAACCTAAGGTGACTGAAGGCCCACACTAAGACCTTAAACCATCTTGTCCGGGAGCTGCTTTATGCTGATGACACTGCCCTTGTTGCACACATAGAAGCAGCTCTGCAGCATTTAACATCCTGCTTTGCAGATGCTGCTGAGTTCTTTGGGCTGGAAGTCAGCTTAAAGAAGACAGAAGTTCTCTATCAACTGGCACCTCAGGAAGTCTTCCATCATCCCCATATCACCATTGGCCAGTCAGAGCTCAAATCAGCCCAGCAGTTTAATTACCTGGGTAGCCTCATCTCCTCAGACGGTAAGATGGATGGAGAGATAGACAACAGGTTAGCAAAGGTATAGAGAGTTTTGGAAAGCTTCATAAAAGAGTTTGGCGAAATAAACACCTGATGAAAAGTACAAAGATCAGTGTTTACAGAGCCATAGTGCTGTCTACTCTCTTATTTGGTTCTGAATCATGGGTCATCTACCGCCAGCACCTGCGTCTCCTTGAACGCTTCCATCAACGCTGTCTCTGCACAATCCTAAACATCCACTGGTCAGATTATGTGACCAATACATCTGTTCTAGAACAAGCAGCAGTCACAAGTATTGAGGCCATGTTGCTGAGAACACAGCTGCGATGGGCAGGGCACGTCTCCAGGATGAAGGGCCACCACCTCCCTAAGATCCTGCTTTATGGTGAACTTGCCACTGGCTACCGCAAGAGAGGAACCCAAAAGAAAAGATACAAGGACTCCCTGAAACAACATCTCAACCTTGACCATATTGGTCATCATAACTGGTCTACTCCGACCTCCAATCGGGAGGCCTGGAGACACAGCATCTGTAACGCTGCTGATGCTTTTGAGAACGCACGCAGGATCACCCTTGAGGAGAATAGACAACGCAGAAAGAACCGTGCCTTGCAGAATATACCACCTAAGGAGTCTTTCTGCTGTGCCTTTTGCAACCAGACATGTCTATCTCATATTGACCTTTTTAGCCACCAATGAGCTTACAACAAATGTGGGTAGAGCCCTTCCCAAATCTTTGTTCACGAAGCCCAGCCATGATGAGTATTCTTACTGGATATGACTGTGATATATGTACATCTATATTTTTGCTCTAGCTCTGCTATTTGGTTTTTTTTTCTCTCTGGGAAGTAAGATTTTTCGCTGGGTCTCGGGGACTTTGCGGGAAGCCAGGTCCAAAGCAACCCACGGCTGCAGCACAGGGTTTGCTGCCGTGTCACCTCCTGGGGTGCTGGGCCTGGGAGGACACAGGGGTCCCAGAGTGGGGCACTGTGTGGGGACACAGGGAGAACTGTGGCTGCCCAGACTGGAGAAGAGAAGGTTTTGGGGTGACCTTGCAGCCCCTTCCAGTTCCTAAAAGAGGCTCTGAGAGAGCTGGAGAGGGATTTTGGACGAGGGCCTGGAGTGACAGGACAAGGGGGAATAGCTTCACAGCGGCAGAGGGCAGGGTGACATTGGCAGTGGCCCTGAAATGGGGTGAGAAGGCTCGGGCAGCAGCTTTTCCTTTAGGCAAGGCGGCTTCTCCCGGGGAAAGCCCCAGCCAGGGCTCAGCTTGTCCCACAAGCCTGGGGCCAGGGGTGCTGAGGGGGGAGCATCCCGCTGCCTGCGGGACAGCCCAGGAAGGACACGGTCGGCTCGGCACACTCAGCACCGCGCAGCTGAAGGACACCAGGGCTTTGGGCACGTTGTTGCAGCTTTATTGAGCCCCAGTCCTTTAGCCAAGGCAAGCTGCACCTCTACCGGGCTCACGGCCAGCAGCAGCGCAGTGCTTGCAGGAGGCCTCTTGGTCTTTGCTGCACACAAGGACTCCTCAGAATGGAGGTTGTCTGAACTGCCAGGGAGCTGACAGAGATGTCCCAGTCATTCTCCAAGGGCTGAAGCGCTGTGAGGGAAAGAAACAGAGCCCAGATCAAACCCCACATCTGCAGAAAGCCTCTGGATTCCCGACAGACCGTGCTCCCCACTCACCGCTCAGGATGTCAGCCTGACTCTCCGTGGTCTGCTCCCTCAGGCGCCGTGTGATGAGTTCTGGGCACAGAGCTCCATTAGCCCTGCTCCCCAGCCTGCTCCCAGCAGCAGGGCCCCCAGTCCTCCCCTCCTCCCCCTCAGCAGGGCTGAGCCCAGGAGCCCCCAGAAGCTCAGGGCAGTGGGACTGAGCAAGGCGGCCACCAAGCCCCGCTGCGTGGGCAGGGCTGGCAGAGGGAGGCAAGGCCCTGCCCGGGGTGGCCAGGCACTGCTGGGGCAGCCCCAGGACTGCCCCTCGTTGCTGGGGCAGCAGCAGCACAGGGACCAGGCTGCCCCCAGAGGCACCGCAGGGGCTGGCACTCACCGATGAACCTGACGGCCGCCAGGCGCACGTTGGCCTGAGGGTCCTGCAGGTAGGGCAGGCTCTGGTGGATGAAGTCTTCAGCCCTGTTCCTGCTGTTCTG